TCCTCCTCTCTCTCTCTCTCCTGTTTTTTTTCTTTATTTTCCACCTCTCCTCCGGCACCCACGCGCACGCAGACGCCGAATGGCCAAACACAGCAGAAGACACAAAAACAAACAAACAAATACCGCAAAAAGCGAAATATGTATGCAGTGGGAAAGCGGCTTCCCTCCCACGCGGAGAGAACGTCCCGGCGGTGACGGCGGCGGCAGCAGCTGCGGTTAGCCAGTCGCAGCATCCCCAGTTTTCAGCTCCTTCATCCGCCGCTGCTGCCGCTGCAGCTCCGCGAGCGCCACGTTGTCGCTGGCGTCGTCAAGCCACCGTGCCACATCCGCGACTACCTCCCGCCAGTTCCCCTCGCCCGCACTCCCCACCGTCGCCTTGTCCCAGGCGTCAAGGGATTTGTAGTGCAGAATCAGGGCCTCGAGGTCGTTGCGGATGGCGCTCCGCATCAGCCGCTCATCGTCAATCCGTTGAAAGGCGCGAAGGCGGTCTCGTGCGGCCATCGTCTCCGTTTTATTTAAATTGACTCCAGCCGAGAAGGGCGCCGGGGCAAAACGCAGAGGGACCCCGCGCACCACACGCTTCACCACCATCACCTCCTCCTCCCTCTTCGCCGTGGACACACTTCCCACGCCCGGCACGGCGCCCTCACCGGTGCCGTTGTCCCCCCGCTCCCCTGCCTGCCCCTCCTCGGGGTTGCTTTGTGCCACCTCCGCCTCTTCCTCCTCTTCGACTTCTTCCTCCGCCTCTGCTTCCACCGCGGCCTCAGGCGCCTCCTCCCACTTCGCTCCCGCTCCCCCGGCAGGCTGCTGCTGCTTCTGCGGCGGCTGTGGCGGTGGCGGCGGCAGTGTTGGTCCCGCTCCTGCTTCTTCGGCCTGCTCACCGGGCCGCTGCGGGGTTGGGTGCTTCTGCGCCTCCTCAGAGGCCTCCGTATCCGTCGCGTTCTCCTCCGCAGCGGATGCGGCGAAAAACTCATTCCGCGTCGTGTTTGCCGACCCCGTCTGGCCCTTTCTTGCTGCGGCCGTCCGCTTCACATATGTGGCGCGCAGGTACGCGTTGGACACAAACGGGATGCCGCTCTCCGCCACCGTGACCTCCACCACAACCTCCGTGTGCTCCAGCGACATGCCGCCCCGCCTGCCTCTCGCCGCGGAAATGCTCTCGCCGACGCCGTGGATCGACGTCGCCCGTGCAAAGCGGCCGCCGTCGTCCTCCAACGTGAGGGTGAAGTCGGCGGTGCGGTTTTTAAAACGCAGCGATTGCACCGCCGGCACGAGTGTGCGGGCCTTGGCGAAAACGAGGTGCCGGGTGCCTGCGCCGCCGCCGCCCTGCAGCGGAGGCGTGAGCGAGAAGTACACATCGTTCATCAGCGGCTCCACCACGCGGAAGCCGCGGACGGGGATGCCCGCCCGGGCGGCGCCCACGTACGCGGCGCCCACCACCGTCGCCTCGTCGCTGTTGAGTGTCCGGTCCACCGCCCTGCCGTAGCCGTCGCTGAGGCGCTCCAGCAGCTTCGGCATCCGCGTGGCCCCGCCAATCACCTCGAAGCGTGCCAAGTCCCGCAGCGACGGCACGACGCCCCTCGTCTGCGCAATCGCCGCGTCCCGCAGGCGCGCCGCCTCGTCAAAGAGGTGGGCGCACTCCTGCGCAAACCTCGCGCGCGAGATGGTGGCGGTAAAGTCGCCGCCGCCCTCCTGCACGCCCTGCACAACGACAGGGGCCTCTTGATTCACGGAGAGCCGCTCCCGCGCGCTTTTCACCGCCCGCAGCAAACTCGCAGCCGCCTTTCGCGCGGCCGGGGCAGAGGCGGCAAGCACGGGCTCGATCGCCTTCGGCCTTGCATTGGGGAAGAGCTCTCGCTCAATGTAGCGGGCGATGCATTTGTCGAAGGCACGGCCACCCAGCGTGTCGTGCACCACCGCCGCCAGCAGCGTGATCGTCCCCGGCTGCTGCAGCGACTGCGCAAACGCGTACACCGCCACCTCCGTTCCTCGACTGCCCATGTCGTACACCATGACGTACTTTGAGGCATTTTCTCGCGCCGCAGCAAAAAACTGATCGGCGTTGAGGTACGCCAGCTGCACGGCCGCCGCGGTGGTGCCGTGCACAAGCCGCACCGTTCGCAGGCCCGCCACAGCAGCCGCGTCCACAACAGCCTGCCGCTGCGCCAGAGAGGCGTGGGTAGAAACAGCCACGACGAGGTGCCGCAGCGGCTCCCCGTCCAGGCCACGCTCCGCTATCCGCCTCAGATAGGTAAGGAACATGCCGACAAGCTCCTCCGCAGAAAACTCCAACACACTCTGCTTGTCCCTTCCTCCTGCGATGCGGACCGCCAGCTTGTCGCGGGAGGCGTGGGGGACCACGGCGTAGGTCAGAGACGCCGCGTCCTCCGGTGCCAGCGCCGCCTGCGCCGCGGCTCCGGTGTCGCTTCCAGCAACGAAGCCTCGCCACACCCCGCGCCCCGCAAGCAACGAGGGGCCGCACACGACGTGCTCAGGGAAGCGGGGCTCAAGTGCGAGCGCCTGCTCCGAAAAAATACGCTCCACCTTCTGCAGCACATCGTCCGTGTCGTACGGCAGAAAGCGGAAGGCGATACACTGCGGGCTCTTTCGGTTTGCCTGGTCATTGAGGACAACGGCTGGGTTCGACGAGGCCCCGCTGCCGCCGCCGAGCGTGGCCGCCTTCGCCCACTCCACGCCGAGGTCCACCGCCAAAACGTGGTACGCTCCCGCCGTGCACGCGACAATCGACGCCAACGTCAGCAAAAAAAAAGCAGCAGTCAGCAGCGGCGGCGCTCGCGTCGCACAACACGCCGCGGCTTTGCAGCGGCCAGACGCCTCGCCACGACGCCCAGCAAGAAGCCCGCCGGGCAAGCGCCACCGGTTCATTTCTTTTTTTACTCCACGGCGCGTGCAGTGGGGAAGGGCTCCTGCGTGCGTGCGTCAGTGCGTCCGTGCGTGGCGCGCTCCCTTTGAGCCGGCGGTGAGTCGCCCCAAAAAGCCCACCCACAAAAAAAAAGGTATTTTTTTGTTTTATTACGTCTTCCACGCGTGCCCCTTCGCCCTCGCGATGACCCCTACGTTTGCCCAACAGGCAGAGAAACACCACCACCAACGACAGCAACACTGCCGGAGCAGCCGCACAAAGAGAAGAGGAAGCGAGGGGGGAGGGGAGGGGAAGAAGACGTCACGAGAAACAGACAGACAGACAGACAGGCATGTGCTGCCGCGCCAGCCGCACACAAAAAAGCAGAGCGAGAAACGCTGCCGGACCGGCATTCTCACCCACACCCTCGCGTGGCCGTGCGCCCGCAACAACGGCGCGAGAGGCCCAAGGCAACCCAGCAGGGCATCGACGGGCCAGCAACCCGCCCTCCGTGAGGGGGCAAAAGGCGCGCGGGTTCGCGCGGCCGGAGGGAGTCCGGGCCGCGCTCCGTCCCGCCAGAGCCGACCGGACAGACGGCGCCTTGTGCCTCGCCGCCCTCCCGGCGCCCAACCAAAGGGCGCATTGCACCCGCCGACGCGGCAGCGCCACTCACGGCGCAAGCGCCAAGGCCACGGCGCA